GTAGTAGTAGTAGTAGTAGTAGTAGTAGTAGTAGTAGTAGTAGTAGTAGTAGTAGTAGTAGTAGTAGTAGTAGTAGTAGTAGTAGTAGTAGTAGTAGTAGTAGTAGTAGTAGTAGTAGTAGTAGTAGTAGTAGTAGTAGTAGTAGTAGTAGTAGTAGTAGTAGTAGTAGTAGTAGTAGTAGTAGTAGTAGTAGTAGTAGTAGTAGTAGTAGTAGTAGTAGTAGTAGTAGTAGTAGTAGTAGTAGTAGTAGTAGTAGTAGTAGTAGTAGTAGTAGTAGTAGTAGTAGTAGTAGTAGTAGTAGTAGTAGTAGTAGTAGTAGTAGTAGTAGTAGTAGTAGTAGTAGTAGTAGTAGTAGTAGTAGTAGTAGTAGTAGTAGTAGTAGTAGTAGTAGTAGTAGTAGTAGTAGTAGTAGTAGTAGTAGTAGTAGTAGTAGTAGTAGTAGTAGTAGTAGTAGTAGTAGTAGTAGTAGTAGTAGTAGTAGTAGTAGTAGTAGTAGTAGTAGTAGTAGTAGTAGTAGTAGTAGTAGTAGTAGTAGTAGTAGTAGTAGTAGTAGTAGTAGTAGTAGTAGTAGTAGTAGTAGTAGTAGTAGTAGTAGTAGTAGTAGTAGTAGTAGTAGTAGTAGTAGTAGTAGTAGTAGTAGTAGTAGTAGTAGTAGTAGTAGTAGTAGTAGTAGTAGTAGTAGTAGTAGTAGTAGTAGTAGTAGTAGTAGTAGTAGTAGTAGTAGTAGTAGTAGTAGTAGTAGTAGTAGTAGTAGTAGTAGTAGTAGTAGTAGTAGTAGTAGTAGTAGTAGTAGTAGTAGTAGTAGTAGTAGTAGTAGTAGTAGTAGTAGTAGTAGTAGTAGTAGTAGTAGTAGTAGTAGTAGTAGTAGTAGTAGTAGTAGTAGTAGTAGTAGTAGTAGTAGTAGTAGTAGTAGTAGTAGTAGTAGTAGTAGTAGTAGTAGTAGTAGTAGTAGTAGTAGTAGTAGTAGTAGTAGTAGTAGTAGTAGTAGTAGTAGTAGTAGTAGTAGTAGTAGTAGTAGTAGTAGTAGTAGTAGTAGTAGTAGTAGTAGTAGTAGTAGTAGTAGTAGTAGTAGTAGTAGTAGTAGTAGTAGTAGTAGTAGTAGTAGTAGTAGTAGTAGTAGTAGTAGTAGTAGTAGTAGTAGTAGTAGTAGTAGTAGTAGTAGTAGTAGTAGTAGTAGTAGTAGTAGTAGTAGTAGTAGTAGTAGTAGTAGTAGTAGTAGTAGTAGTAGTAGTAGTAGTAGTAGTAGTAGTAGTAGTAGTAGTAGTAGTAGTAGTAGTAGTAGTAGTAGTAGTAGTAGTAGTAGTAGTAGTAGTAGTAGTAGTAGTAGTAGTAGTAGTAGTAGTAGTAGTAGTAGTAGTAGTAGTAGTAGTAGTAGTAGTAGTAGTAGTAGTAGTAGTAGTAGTAGTAGTAGTAGTAGTAGTAGTAGTAGTAGTAGTAGTAGTAGTAGTAGTAGTAGTAGTAGTAGTAGTAGTAGTAGTAGTAGTAGTAGTAGTAGTAGTAGTAGTAGTAGTAGTAGTAGTAGTAGTAGTAGTAGTAGTAGTAGTAGTAGTAGTAGTAGTAGTAGTAGTAGTAGTAGTAGTAGTAGTAGTAGTAGTAGTAGTAGTAGTAGTAGTAGTAGTAGTAGTAGTAGTAGTAGTAGTAGTAGTAGTAGTAGTAGTAGTAGTAGTAGTAGTAGTAGTAGTAGTAGTAGTAGTAGTAGTAGTAGTAGTAGTAGTAGTAGTAGTAGTAGTAGTAGTAGTAGTAGTAGTAGTAGTAGTAGTAGTAGTAGTAGTAGTAGTAGTAGTAGTAGTAGTAGTAGTAGTAGTAGTAGTAGTAGTAGTAGTAGTAGTAGTAGTAGTAGTAGTAGTAGTAGTAGTAGTAGTAGTAGTAGTAGTAGTAGTAGTAGTAGTAGTAGTAGTAGTAGTAGTAGTAGTAGTAGTAGTAGTAGTAGTAGTAGTAGTAGTAGTAGTAGTAGTAGTAGTAGTAGTAGTAGTAGTAGTAGTAGTAGTAGTAGTAGTAGTAGTAGTAGTAGTAGTAGTAGTAGTAGTAGTAGTAGTTGAATTTAGTCAGATGAAACCTGATTACAAGCTATCGAGACGCGCCCTCAATCTTGAGAAAACTGATGAAATTTGTATGATTCGGACCTTCATCATCCAGTCTCATAATTTCAGGCGCTATCATTGAACTATTCGAGCAATAACGTCTACCCAAAGGATAAAGATATTTACACTGACTGGTCAATGAGTGGTTAGCAATTTTGAATTTATTTGGTGTTTAGTGCTGATCAGACTCTACTAAGACACACTTATAACTCTGGGGCTATTTTCTTCGGTTTTTGGAGATTCTGACTTATAAACCTAATGTTGTAGTACTTGAAATGTAATGCTGAATCACAAAGCAATACGAATGAGTTGTTCTGCACTGACTGATTACCATAAGTTGTCTCGTCAGTTTATCAGTGATGGTAATTCGCTTCAAACTACAATTTCGATATACATAAAGTGTATGAAAATTAATTTTGCAAATTATAGTAAAATGTAATGGCATAAATTCGATGGTATTAAAATTGAAATTCTCTTAATTGAATTATTAAAGATAACTGTAAGATATTACTAAGATAATAATGTAAGATATTAATAAATAATTAGACAATTAGACAAAGATAATGATGGTAATTGTGCTCAAATTGCAGCTATTTACATTCACATTTGAAATGATTACTAAGAAGCGGATATCATACCAAAAAGGAAACTGCCCAACGTACTACTGTTAAACTAAACATCACTTAACATTGAAGTGACGTCAGATCTACAAAGGAACTGAAAGGAAGTATTATCTGTCAGTAGATATTTACATTTAGTCAAAATATTACAATCTAAATTAGAGAATTTTGGTTAATCTTTAAACTGTTTCATTCCTAATGTTATAATTAATAAGATAAATTCAACTGTTTTAGATTTATTATGAACAGCTAGCTGTAGTCTGACAGTTTCCAGCCTGCTACGAATTCAAATAGAATCACTATGCAGTGAATGATAATAGTTGTCAATTCATCTGTTATTTGGAGAAACAATAAACGACTGTGCTGGATTTCGTGCATCAAAAAAAGTTAGAGAGGAAATTCTTCAGTGAAACGTTAATGAATAATGCTAATTCATTGAAGTTCATAAACCGCTGGAAGGGTTGCAGTACGATTAGAACGATGACACTTCTGGCACCCAAAAGGGAGTTTACATTATATTACCATTTAGAGGTGATTCAAATAGTCTCATGTTGAAGCAGAGACTTAAATTAGCCATCAACTAGACATTTTATGCAGCTCAACTTGTCATTATTGAAAAGACAAGGTCTATGTTTCACCAAAAACTAAAACAGCAGGTAGGTGATTGTGTCTATCAACTTACATGTATGTGCAGAATCACGTACATAGGGAGGAATAATCGTGATCTACAAGAAAGGATGGTGGAACACATACCCAAATGGCTGCAGAAACAAATGAATTTCAGTGCTGAAATAATATCACAGGATAGACATCTTTCTCCGCTGCAAAACATTTGGTCGAGACTAGTTATGGGGTTGATGTCAAGTCAGAGTTTGTAGTATTGTACAAAAGCCTTCAAGGATTTATACTACAGTTTATTGAAGCCTTCGCCATACATAAACTTAAATCTCCTTTATATATTCGAAAACAATTTGTTCTTACCCTCAACCTACCCTGGTAATACTGATTTATTATACAGAGTGGTTATCAGATTGTTTTTGTGTACTTTATTTTGATTTCCTTCGTTACGGCTTACTTTTAATCTGTTTACTTGACCTTTTATTTTTCACATAAAAGTGTTCTTACCAAGTATACTATGTGTGATCAGATTGTTCGAAATGTATTGCGCAAATATATCACATAATTCTGATAACTTTCATCATCTCATTGCATTATCGATAAACGTTAGTTATTAGTTTCGATAAATGATTAAAAATGGCATTTAATCACTGATGTAAACTGTTTGAATTAATATAGTACCATCGTTAATGAATTGACCATAAATTACTTACTCACGCCTGTTACTCCTAATGGAGCATAGGCCCCAAACCAGCATTCTCCAACACACTCTGTCCTCGGCCTTCATTCATAGTTCTATCCAATTCTTGCTCATTCTGCTCATGTCTATCTCCATGTGTTTTTTGTCTTCCTCTTTTCCTTTGGCCTTGAGGATTCCTTGTGAGGGCCTGTCTTGTGACACAGTTGGGTGCCTTCCTCAATGTGTGTCCTATCCACTTCCAGCACTTCTTCCTGATTTCTTTCTCCGCTGGGATCTGGTTTGTTCTCTCCCACGTTAGATTGTTGCTGATTGTATGTGGCCAACGGATCCGAAGTATTTTGTGTAGACAACTGTTAATAAACACCTGTATCTTCTGCATGATGGCTTTCGTAGTTCTTCAAGTTTTCGCCGCATACAGTAGAACTGTCTTGATATATGTATTGAAAATTCTGACTTTGGTGTTGGTTGACAAAGAGTTGTTTTGAGTTCCAGATGTTCTTCAATTGTAAATATGCTGCTCTTGATTTGCCGATCCGAGCCTCCACATCTTCATCTGATCCACAGTGTTCATCAATGATGCTGCCCATATATGTAAAGGTTTAAACATCTTCCAAATCTTCTCCGTCAGGTGTGATTCGGTTGTTGCATGCTGTGTTGTATCGGAGAATCTCGATTTTCCCTTTGTGTATGTTGAGACCTACTGCTGCTGAGGTTGCTGCTACACTGGTTGTCTCCTCCTGCATTTGTTGTTGCTTGTGCGATAGAAGAGCTAGATCATCTGCGAAGTCTAGATCTTCCAGTTGCATCTTAGCTGTCCAGTGTCTCCCGCGTTTCCCTTCAGATGTTGACATCTTCATGATCCAGTCGATCAATTATCCAATTATTCATTTGACGACAAATAATAAACATGAATGATTATCCTATCCAACAACTAATATGTAGCTTATGAAACAATCGCATAAAAATGAATTTTCTGTTAAATCATTGTAAAATACACTATAAACATTTTAATAATCATAAACTTACTGTAAATACAACAGCTGAAATTGGTGTCATTCTATCCATATGTAAAAAGCATAATAATTTAGGCATTTGATTTACTTGACTTGCAACAAAAAACATACGTGATGTTGTCATTACTGTACCATTGACACCACCAAATGTAGATAATGCTACAAATATAGGCATAATCCACCACATTACTCCATAAATTCTTACAGAAAATGTCTATTGAGTATAAAAAAGAAAAAAATTAGATTATTAATGATATCAAAATAGCAAATAACTTGTATAAATATTAAAACAAAAAAAGAAGAAATTATTAAGTTAATGATCATAGAAGATTTGACGAAACTCCACAATGACTTCCTTCTTCAAATTGTCTTGTTATATTTTGCAATTCTTTCAAGTTCTCTTGGAATTACAGTCATGTGAAGAAAATCATTTCGAGAACCCACTTACTTACTTACTTACTTACTTACTTACTTACTTACTTACTTACTTACTTACTTACGCCTGTTACTCCTCGTGAAGGAACATAGGCCGCTCACAAACCCACTTAATATGTGTGTAATTAATTAGCTGTAAAAGACAAGCGATCAGTTGACCCGGCAACAAATAAATATGTGATAAAAGAAAATATGTTTGACTCCAGAAGCAAGTACTTTTGATTTTGATTTCAACACTGATTTATATTTCATGAAATAATACTTTGGAAAATGAAATAAAACACCGAGACATTTAAATCTCATTTATTTTAACTCAATTGTGTATAAACTTGAAAGTAACCATTAAAAACAATAACCTATTGCTTGTTCAATTAATAGAGTTTTAAAATTGACAACGAATAAAGTACCTTGAACAATAGACTAGTTAACATGTGTTTCATCCTATCGTTGAGGCGAACGGTACTAGGTTCGATTCCCAGAGTGAAAGTGAACTTTGGGATGCAGGTACATCTAGCTGACGAGTCCCAAATGGGACGAAATATTCGTCTTGGATTCCACTGCTAGCCACTATGCATCTTTGCTTAGAATGCATGAAACTTAAGGCAATATCGAAGTAATTCGCACAGGATGCACATATACAAAAAAGAGATTGGTCAATTTCAGCGCTTAACAAGGGTGGGAAGATTCAAGCAAACAATACCATGTAAATTCAATAAACTTTATGTTAGTAAAAAGTTAAGAAAATATTACGAAAAAAAATAAGCAGAATAGATGAACAATCTAATACATTCCTGATTACAACTTACAATGGCTACAGCTGGTGTAGTAAGTATTTCATAAGGTGAGACTACTGTCACATAGGCTACATTAGCCATGGTGTATATGAATGTTACGAGAAGACAAGAAATAATTATAGCCAATGGTAAATCACGGCGAGGATTATTCATTTCTTCAATCATACAATTTAAGTAATTCCAACCAGAATATGCAAATAATCCAACATAAAATGCTTTAGTTATTGCACCTGGACTCCAATCAGAGTTATCAAATGCGCCAACAAGACCATCGACTTTGCCTACATTACGGGAACAAAAGAAGTGAAAACATTTTATGAAACAATAACGACATATCTGTGATTAAGAAGCATCACATATTAAAAGACATTACCATTTCACTCTTTCAGCAAATATTAGTCAAACTCAAAAATTTTCCTAAACTGTACAGATTTACCTTACGAATGTGATGTGAACAAAGAAACAAAGAATTCATGACAAACAACGGAAGCTATATACAGGATCGTTATTTCACCTAATTCAAAGTTTGTAAAATACTAACATTTAGTTTTGTTCACAGTTCATTCTATAGACCATAAGCTTTCGTTTGATGTATCATTCATTGACATTCTCTTTTTTGTTCCAAAAATACTGTAATTTAAACAACCTCTTGTACTTTATTCATCTAGTATAATGCCCAGTATTTTTCTGATTGTTTATGCCGTCTAGTTGTGTTAGTTATCCATTTATTCATGTATCTTTTTACACTAATCTGAACCGAGAACAAATCGAGTGGTGCTCCATTTGAAACGTCTTCTCTCTCTATCCCCATTGTCAAGCAAACAGGTGATATCACAGCTTTCATCTGTCTACCGAGGAACGTTAGTTTAAATTCGGACTCACGTATCCTAGCCTCAAGTTTCAACCAGTAGGCTTATGGTGTCAAGGTCTTACCCTAGATCGAGACAACGTCTTTCCTGTATATTATTGGATAAACAGATGAAGAACAGAATGAAGGTTTTCAAGTACTAAAATTCAGTTACATAAGTCTTCTAGATGATAAACTCTCATATATTTGATACTCATTACATAGAAAGAACGACTGTACCATATGGCTAATTGTGTTGAACATAATACATTTACCCTAGTGATGCAGAATAGCTATCACTGATATTCACCAGCAATTCATAACAATCCAAACTGCATCAACATTATTTTATATTAAAAATACATAAAACAGACATTATTGACGATAATAGATGAAAATTGCATAATAATCATAAAGTGATTAGAATTATAAATGTTAATTATTAGAAAGTGATTCCAATTATATGAGTGAGTAAGTACAATGGATTCATAACAGAAACTAGAAAGATACATGAGTAGTTATAGTTTTCATACGGAATATTCATTAAAGTTTTATGCTTAGATATACAATAAGTTCATCTTATATAAATCATATCATGATTGAAATTGCAAAAACATATCAATATGCAGGATCTATAAAAGTAAACTCTTTACAGATCATTATTTCTAATGTTTCAATTCTATACCTTTATAATTCACCATTATTAAGTACATATTACGCAGAGTTTTTCTTAAAAATTTATGATTATTATTATCATCTCACGAGGTGGGATCGTGGATGTGCACTGCTGAGAAATTCCACAATAGAACGAAACGACTGTCCACTGGTTCCAGGTGTTCCATGGTGATCTAGCTTCAATTAACTCATGATCTCTGTTGAGGACTTTAGATCCCCAGAACTCACTTGGAAAAGGTTCTAATTTTGTAATATTATTCTGTAATTTGCAATTATATGTTTACGCGCCAAAAGACACTTAGTTAACCTGCAGCTTACATTTCTCACTTGGAAATCCTTGACTGTCATTGGTTGACGGATTTTTTTAGTATGTTCTTTTGTGGCTCTCCTAGGGGGAATTTCTACCATTATATAAATAAGCTTGATTTGTGTGCTTTAGTGACCTCGTATTTTCTGGGTGCTTGTAGAATACATTCTTTATGCCTCATCAAAACTTCTTGATCTAGTTCACAGGGCCGGGGACAACGGATTAGAATAGCCAATCGTGTGAGTGTATCTTTGACTTTCGTTCCGTTTGCCGAGTAAGGTGAACTCATAGTAACATTCAAACATATTAATCTCAACCATTGAAATTACTATAATATCCACACACAAAAAACAACCCTTCTGTATGAAAGGGTTAATTATATCTACTAACCAATTCATATTGATCATTTTCTCAAAATTATTGAAAGAGAAAGAGAAAAACAAAAGGAATTAAAAAGAAGTTTAAATAATGTAAATGTTGATCATTGAAATGAATATACACATATCACATACATATACATATCATGTATGTATATAAAGAAGTGACATTGATGATAGATAGATGACAGTATTACATAACTATTCGATGAATCAATTGTAAAATAAATATCTAGAATGATTATTGTTACTGGGTTATTTTTTTATTGTATCCAAGTTCAGACAGATTGAGGTGAACCGAGATAGAAAACGAAAACAAACAAACAAATATAAAGCGCATTAGCAACTAAAGAAATGAAATAAACCTTTTTTTCAAATAAACTAGTATTTATTTTAAAAAATCAAAAAAAAATTTTTTTCTCGATTTTATTTATTCATAGTTTATAATAAACAACCATAACTGTTTGTATGAATACAACAACAACAACAACAATAACAATAACAATAAATAAATAAGTTATATGACGATCTTCTCTCTCTCTCTAAAATTCATCTATTTCAATTATTCTATCATATAGAGATTACTATGTATGTTATTATTGATAGTCAGTTATAAATAATGGATAACAAATATGTAATGATATCAATTCATGACAATTTACATAAGTAAGAATAAGTAGTTTACAATCAAAGATTAAGATTATCACATGGATCTCAACCAAGATATCTGTACTTACATAAAGGATTTAGTTAAATTATTGATAGTAAAGGCGAATATTAAATTATCGGAATGGGTTTTGTGGAGATTTTAGTAATTCTAATAGTTAGGATCATGAGTCAATTGAATCTACACCATTATGGAAAGCCTAAAAGCACTGGATGGCCATTTCGTCCTACTGTGAGACTCCTCAACAGTGAACCCAGGACCTACCAGTTTCGCGCTCAAGTGCTTAACCACTAGACCACTGAGCCGGCCGGCATCGAACGGTGCTAATGTATAACTTCAACCAATCCACGAAAGTGCACCACCATACACCATTGTCTTCAGTGAGCTGATATCTCACAATAGACCTGGTTGAACTCCACTGGTCACGGCTTCCCACTAGAACTCCAGAAAATGCTTCTTAAAGTCAGTCACTAGTGAGCAGAAGGGATTTTGTGAAGATTTAAATTGCTCATTTTATTCCTATTTTTTTAGCTTCTAATAACATCTATTTGTTTGTAATATTTGAGGTAAGAAATAAGTGTGAAAGTAAAAATAGTATACTGATTACTGTCACAATCGAATTAGTTGAAGTTAGACATTAACACCGTTCGATGCCGGCCGGCTCGGTGGTCTAAAGGACAAGCGCTCGCGTTCGAGACTGATAGGTCCTGTGTTCGAATCTCGCGAGGCAGGATCGTCGATGTGCACTGCTTAGAAGTCCCACAATAGGACGAAACGGCTATCCAGGTTTTCCATGGTGATCTAGCTTCAATTGACTCAGGATCTCAACCATTCAGATTACTATAATATTCTCAAAAACCCTTCTGATATAATCGAATAAGTTTAAACATTAACCAACTGAACAAGTCAAAAATCTTTAAAAGGTTGAAAAGAACACTAGATTACTGTATATTAATCATTGGTTCAAGAAATCTCTTTCCCTATAGGATTTAATTACTTAAAGTTATGCTAATATGGTATAACATCTAGAATATAAAAAAATTTGTTAATGAGGATAGATATTACGCAACTATATATGTGAACAACTATGATAAAGCATTGGTGGAAATGATAATATGTTGATTAACAGGTTTCAGAAACAATAACTTGCAAGGAGATAAATTTTGGTGTGTTTTATTAAATCTGTATGGAACTTAGCAATAACTCAATTGTTAAAACAATAGTTATTTAATCCTATCTGATGTTCACTAACCACTACACTAGTAGCATTTTTTGACTCAAACATTATTTACATTAAGATGAAACTTATCAAATAAATGAAATTACCAAATTAGTACCATATAAATTGGGATTAAACCTTGGTGTTAAATTTCACTACATTCAAGCCAGAACTAAAAAGTAAATTTGAAATTTACTTGGTATTGTTTACTTGAATCTTCCCAATGATGTTTAGGACTGCAACTGATCAGTCTGTTATTGGCATACTGTACGGATTGTCTCAATATTACCTTAATTCACAAGCATTCTAAGCAAAGATGGATAGTGGTTAGCAGTAGAATCCATGACGTGCATTTCATCTTATCTTTGAAGCGATTGGTACTGGGTTCGAGTCCCGGGGTGAACATGAACTCTGGGATACAGGTACCCTAACCCAGCTGACGAGTCCTAAATAGGACGAAATGGCTGTCCTGGATTCCACTGCTAGCTACCATCCATCTTTGCTTATACATTTAAAATGTTTATCAAGTTAATTCTACTACATTTTTTTAAAAAAAACTAAACAAAGTAAATAAAATAAAAATAATCCCGGTTAATTAGTAAATAAGAACTAGACATTTAAACCTTTTTTTATTGTTGTTGTTGTTGTTTAAATTACGTCTAGTCACTTTAATATTGAAGGACAATTTTATTGTATTGAACATTAGTTTAAATGGTATAACAAGTATTTAATAACCATTATTATGGTTAAACAACTGATGAATATGAAATAATTTAATGATCATGTTAAATTTAATGATCAACAATTAGTCTATACTTGTGTGATATAGGCTTCTTTAGGTAAACGTCTAAATACATAATGTCTGAACGAACACAGATATTGATAATAATAAATGATTGTATACCTGTTTAATACAATAATGAAAGTATTTAGATCAAGTAGCTAAATGGATAACGTAATTGAGTTTAAAGCACTCAGTATTGAAGTTAATCATATGATTACACCGGTAAATCCAGATGATCAGTTTAAAATAGAATGAAATACGAATTCTTGATTTCACTGTTTGCCAATATCCAAGAATGCATAATTAACAGATGGTGGATATAAATGTACAGTACTTCACCAATGATTAGTATAGCCAATAATTTATATCACTTCTGTCTAAAAATAAATGCTTTACAATGATGAC